TGAGCCTATATATCTCATTTTCTGTGAAAGATATCAAAAAGTGGCTAATTAGTAAAATGTTGCTGATATCCTGATAAACATTTTACTAGTTAATTACTTTTTGATATCTTTCAAAAGAAATGAGATATATAGGCTCAAAGTGGACGATCCGGGTGTCGTTCTATTAGAGGTTTTACGGTATTTTTCATAGTTGCAAAATCTCGGGACGGCCCGTCGAGAATTTCGGCGGGTCGGGCTGAGAAAATTTGTTTACCGGCCCGGCCCGGCCTTTTGCAACTACGATATTCTTCGTACAAATTTGATGTTTCTGACAATACCAAGAAATACAAAAAAAATTTCAATTTTCCTGTTTCAATTTTTCTAGAGAGAATCGTAATTATTTACAGTAATTACAAAACACATGATATTTTTTGTAATTGATATATTTTGCATTCTGAAAACACATTTTCATAAAATCGACAAATGTTCAGATACATTTTTTAGATTATTAAAGGGGGACTGGGACCAAAAATTTTTATTGAAAAAAATATGCCGCGGAGGGACGAGGATTTGAATTCCCGCGCAGGGAAAACCTCTTCCACGGCCATGGTCGCATTATTGACTTTTCAGCTTTTTCGGAATTCTTCCTCTTTTATCCCTCTTTTTCCAGTTTTTCGTACCTGTTCTCAAAACTCACTTGGGTCCACTCAAACAAATCCCATCAATCTCCACCCGGTAAAATCGGAAGTTGTTGAAAAATTTCGAGAAATAAATAGTAAACGTATCGAAGACAGAAAAGAATGGTTGATGAAAAATCATTGAAGAAAACATTTTGAAACAGAAATTTGAAATTTTTCAAAATTCCGAAAGTTAGTTAGTCTGGAATGTTGTCAATTTCAAAACCGAAAAGTTCAAAATCCTGCAACTTTTAGAAAATTCTAGAAATCAAATTATTAAATTGAATGTTAACAGAAGCTTCGCCGAGAGGAACAGAAAACTTGAAACATCAATTTTTCAGAATTTTTTAAAAAACCACTGAAATGTTAAAACTTTTGCTAATTAAAAAAATTCTGAGCCACCTGACCAATATGCAATGTTCAGAATTCCAATTTTCAATTCTCACATTTTCAGAAATGGGACCACAAACTGGAACAAATCGCTGAAAGTCTAAAATGCGGAGATATGGAAAATGGTCCGGACTACATGGTCAGCTTTGCTCCAAATGAGAAATTGATCAACAAAATTTTCAAAATCCCGCTTAAAAAACAGGATAAAGCGATTTTAAAGATTTTGCGAGGGCTTGCAGCTCCAGGACAGACTGGCTTCGCGTGTGCAGAGTTTTTGGAAAAATGTTCCAGAAAGGATGGGGAAATATATCAAATTTCAGTATTTTCAAAAAGATTAGAGTCGAAAATTTTGAAATTATCTGTTTCAAAATAATCATAAAAATTGTTTAGCTTCAAATGTTAATATTGAATCTATAATGCACAGTATACATTTCTAAAAAGCAATAATTTCAAAAAATTTCCAATCAATCTTCAGTTTCAAACTATTCATTAAAGCTAGGGATTGATTTTATGTAGCATTAGAAAGTCTTTTTTTCAATTCAATTTCAGATTTTTAATTGTGAATGATTTCAGTCGATTTAACTATCGTAAGACCTGTAATAGAAGAGCCCTCTAACTTTTAATTTTGAGTCAGGGTATCTCGGTTGCTCTGAACGGTATCAAGAAAGCGTCAACTGATAAACTTGGCAGGTCTTCTGTTAAAAAGTTTACGATATTCTTTAAAACCATGTTGCACCCAACTAACCTCGACAACCTCCGCAGTCTAAACGTTCAGTCTTTTTTGTTTCTTAATCACCACATCGGATCAATCGCTTCATTTTTATGGATAGTTCAGGGACCATCCTTTTTTAGATGCAGACGATGCGTTTTGAAGGTTAAGGACTTGCTGGACCGCCGGGGATAGTTCAGAAATATCACTGCCTGCCGAGAATTTTCAAAAAAAAAAAAAATTCAGTTTCAAGACCTTTTTGATTTCCTGAACTTTTTCTTGTAATGCTTGTTTTTTAGTTTTTTTTTCAAATTTGCAAATGAAACAATTTTATTAGTCATTAGCGCCTAGACCCGTACACAAAAGATGAAAAAACCCCATAATTATAATTCAAAATTGATAATTAAACAATTAATTAATTAATTAATTCTGATCCGAGCCATTGAAAAATTTGTGACATCTTCGAGAGTCCACAAAAATGTCGTCGATTCCACATGCTCCACGATCCGGACCATCGTTTAGGCATTCGAATGAAAGCTAGAGAGAGATAATTAGGGGGTATGTAGGTTTTTTTTGAATATTTTAATTAGTTTTAATTTTTAAACATGGTGTAATTTCCGAGTATCATCTTTAAAAATTTGTAAACTTCACATTTGGACATTTTGAAACAGTATTTTTGTTACAAATATGGACCACTTAATTTGAAAGTTCCAAATTTTAAATTTCAGAATTTTAGATTCAGATTGCAGATTTTCGGGGTACTGTAACTGATTTTCCATCCTCTCACCGTCTGCGTATTCGCCGGACACGTCACTGTTTTCCTCAACCAATTCCTATGACCCCTATAAAGTCCTTGCTCAGTCTCCAGTGGACAGTAACGGTCGCAACAGATGCGTAATCTGATTCCTCGAGTTCCTTCAAATAATCGGAATCTGATTTTTGTGGAAGTTGGTGATAAGATAAGAGGAATTGATAAGATTCCAGCTTGTTGTGGTTCCAGAAAGACAGCAGCGAAATGAAGGTTTCGCGAGGAGTAGGTGGCTGAAATGAGAATGAAATTTGTATCATTTTTCGATTTTTTTTCCAAATATCGAAATTCTAACTTTGAGGCGTTGTTTGGAAATTTCAATCCATATAAAAACAAATTTCAATGAACTTTAAAAAAAAACTAAAGCACTTTTTTCCTGTTTCAAATTGTCTAAAAAAATTTGTAAGATTCATAATTATATTCAATGTGGATATATTTCAGAATATTTCATCTTCCAATTTTCAATGATTTCCAGTGAAAATGGCCTACAAATTAATTCTGATTTTTTCTGAAATTTTCTGTTCCAAAAAGTTCTCAATTATTTTTAATTATTATTTTAATTCATTGATTTTAAATTACCATTTTGAAATATTATGAAATTCGAATTACTAAAAAAAACCATACTTGTAACGGGCCGGGCCGGGCTTTTTCCGGAATTGCGGAGGCCCGGCCCGGGCCCGGCGGGCCCGTCATTTCACTGATTTTGAAATTTTCAAAAAACACATAAGGGGGGACCCTTATGTGATTTTTTTCGACCAAGATTTTTTTTTCGAGTTTTTTCGATCTTTTTTGATTACACAGACAAACAATCTAAAAAACGAAAAAAAAAATGGAAAAAATTATATTGAAAGCTCAAAATTTGGCTCAAAAATACAGAATTTTTGACACCGGGCCTTCCGGGCTGGGCCCGGGCCTTGAAAATTTCCTCAGGCCCGGAATTTTACAACTATGAAAAAAACCACTTTTTCAAAATCTGAACAAAAACGTAATTTCCATACTTTAAAAAATTCTAGAATTTTCTGAAATTCGTTTCTGAAACTCTCTGTTTCAGAGCGTTCTCAATTATTTTCAATACTAATTTTCATTCATCATGGCCGGTTTTCTGGAATAGGAACCAAAAATGAAAAAAAATTGTTCAAAACCAAATACTTTGATTAACTAGAGCTATCATTTCCGTAGAGTTATGAAGCCCAATAATTGAAAAAATTGAAATTTAAACAAATCTAAAAATTGCGTGTTTCAAATTGTCTAAATTAGTAAGATTCGTAGTTATATAGCAATTGGTACGTTTTTTTTATCAATTTCCACTTAATTTTTAATGGTTTTCAATGAAAGAGAAATGAGGAAACATATTGTTAGTCAGGTTATTCTTTGCTGCTCTAATTTTCACTATTCCTTTAAAAAATACTCTTACGTCCAATATCAATCTGCTTCTGTTTCTCGGCTCTTCGCCCCGCCCATATGCTCCATGCTCTGAAGGTATATGGTAGAAGGTCATCAGCAATGTTCGAGGGCTCCGCGAGCAAGTCATCCGGAAATTGGGACGCCCGTTTTTGTCGTTTTTGGTGGTGTTGGGTTTTCCAGAATCTTCTGGTAGTTTCATCGTGGGATGATTCATAGTTGCAGAGGTCGGCTGGAAGCAAACTTTTGAAATTTGCAGTTTTTTTTTCGAAAATTTTCAAAATGGTGAGATTCTGATAAAAATTGATTTGACGACCTAAAATAGTGTAAGAATCAATATTTCAACAAAATTTTTGAAAAAAATTGAAAAATTAGAAAAAAAATTTTTTTTTGAAATTTTTATTCAAAACTCACCTTTCTCAAAATCACATTGAACTCGTTTACAAACTTTTTCCTCCTCCTCAGCCGGTCTGAAAATTTCAGATTTTTTTGCAGTTTCAGCGTTTTAAAATATTTTCCATTTTAGTAAATTTGTTAATGTTCCTCTCAAAAATTCTAAAAAGTCACCTTTCCGCTAGCCGAATTTCTTTTCCAGCTCTACTGTAAGTCATTTTTGTAATAAAGAAAACCATTTTTTGAATTTTTTTCACAAAAATAAAACTTACAGTTTCACAATATCCTCATGAAGCATATCAATCAGTTCATGGACCGTATCGGTTTCTTGATTTTTCGAAGCAACTGATAATGGTTTTTTGACTGGTAGGTGCATGGCGGCTAGTTGGGATGGACGGGGTCGGCGGACTGAAATTATGAAAATTGAAATTTCAGAAAAAAAAATTTCAGAAATCAACATGGTTATTGTTTCATGTTTTCAGAATCCATGTACTCTAGTTAGAAAATTTGATAGTTTCTGAAAAAAATTGGTTGTTTTTCTATATTACAATTTTTAATGTTACAGTTTCACCATGGAATCTTTGAGGAAACTTGTGTAAAGTTCATAATACTGGATGCGCAGGCAGTGGTAATGATTTTTTAGATCTGACTAAATATCCTGAACATTGGAGTCCTGGAGGCTTCTACTATTATGCTTGTCTGAGAAAAAAAAGGTTAGAGAGTATTTTTTGCAGTCTGAGGACGGTAGCGATATCGAAGCGGAGAGCCTAAATAGCACACAAACGGTGGAGACGCAGACACTTTTTCTCTGCGTCTCAACCTTTTTTTTCTCAGACAAGTATAATATTGTCGAATTAAAAAAAACTGGGACCTGAGAATTTGACAACTGTCGCTTTTTTTGATCTGAAGCGCGGCAAAAACGTAATATTTCAGACTTTCGGCTCGTTCGTGCTACTTTCGCAAGTAAGGTCGGGTTTTCGATGAAAAACAGATTCTGTAGATGCTAGCGATCATTTCGAGATTTTGTACAGGAAATTCCACTGAATTCACATAAATAAGTTTCGTTTACTACTGTAGTGATTTTGGGGCGAGGCCCCGTAAATCGACAGGGAAGCCGCCCGCGACATTTTCCAGGTCCCAATTTTTTAATTCGACAATAACAAAATTACTGGAAAACTTTAATTTTTTGATTTATATAGCAATTGGTACAAAGTTTTAACAAATTCAAAAAAAAACTGATAAGTCTTTGCTTGGAACCAGAAATTGTCGGAAATCCTTGTTTTCAATTGTGGACTTTGAGGCTTCCATTTCGGTCGGTCGAAAATTACCGACCGCCGACCGACCACCGACCCAGCCAACCGACAGCCGACCGAGCTGACCGATCGGTCGGCGCGCCAACCGTTCGAGTGCATTTGCGCGTCAGGGCGTACGCGTACGCTTCACGACGCACGTTTTTTTTTAAATATTCAAAGATTAAAAACTGTTTTATTAGGAATTTAATTCCTATTCACTGCAGTAAAAAGCTATAATACTAAAAAAATAAAAGATTTTCGAGATGAAGGAAGAGTCATTGGATCAGGATATGATACAGGTTACGGAGACAACGACTGAATCGCCGTATTCTTCTTCGGATCGATTTTCGTAGAATATTTAATACCTGCATGATTTTGTTAACAAAAACTTCTGATTTTTATTCTAAAAAAAGGAAAAAAAACGGAGAAAATCATCAAAAGAACCAATATTGAAAAAATCGTGCTTCGTAAAATGTAATGCAGCGTACGCATACACCCTGACGCACAAATGCATTCGATCGGTTGGCGCGCCGACCGATCGGTCAGCTCGGTCGGTGGTCGGTCGGTCGGCTGAATTTGCCGGCCGAATGGAAGCCTTAGTGGACTTCGAATAATTTGTATTAAAAAACTTTTTCTTCTTGAGGGCTTCAAATGATTTTTGTTGTAAACTTTTTTGCAACAATATTCAGACTCACCCAAAATCGTTGGACTCATTGTGGGCGGTGCCATTGGAATAGTTCTTCTGTGAACGGCCACGGCCACTGGTTGGCGGCCAAATTGGTCGTTTTGGGAGACGAATGGAACAGAGAGGACGGGCTAAAAAATAGGACTTTACGGATTTCAAAAATTCTCATTATCCCAAAAAAAGATTTGCAGATTTTTTTTCAATGTCAGGGAAAAATCAAAATTTCAACTGTTTCAGCATCAGCTAAAGTTCGTTGATTGAAAAATTAAAAACAATGGGACCTGACTGCATGAGTATTTAAAAAAAGCGTTTTGCTAATTTTCAGGACTTCCAATTTAAAAATTACAGTTTCAAAAGCTTGAATTAGTGTCCAAAAAAACTAGAAATTGTTCATTTATACAGGACGGCGTGAAAAATAGTTTTATGGACTTAAAAAAATTCGAATTTGATTCAACATTTGGGCGACAAAACTAATTCGGAGATATATCTTGTAAAAAAGATACCAATAAAAAAAGAACCATTTCTAATATTAAAAACCACACTGTGAAGCAGTGAAACTTTTTTAAGGATTTTTGAAATTTAGAATAATTTATTTTTTTCTGTTTTAAAATCAGCCTGAAAAATTAGAAACACTAGTAAGAATACTCAGTAATCGAGATTTAGGAAAACTTCGAAGCAAAATTACTTCAAATTTGAGCTCAATTATCTCGTTTCCTGTTAAAGGTATCGAAAAGTGGTCAACTGATAAATTGTTTATCATAATATCACAAACATTTTATCAGTTGACCACTTTTTTATATCTTTTACAGGAACTGACATAAGTTGGCTCAAACTTGACAGAGATTTTATTACAGGTTTTACGGTATTATTCAAAACCATTTACCACTCCAACTAACCTCGACAACTTCCGCAGTCTCTTGTAAATGTCCAGCCTTCTTGTTAAACTCGATAAAACTATTCCTTATCACCACATCCGACGGATCAATCACTTCGATTTTCAGCGGCAATTTACTCTTTTTGTGTAGCTTTCTTTTCATCATGGACCATCCTTTTTTCGATGCAGCTGAGGCTTTTTGAAGGTTAAGGACTTGCTGAACCGCTGAGGATAGTTCAGAAATATCACTGGCAGCGGAGAATGGAGATGGGGTATGTTGGCGGAAGTTGTCTGAAATTGTTTTTTTTTTTTTCAGAAAGTAAAATTGTGATGCTTCAAGCTTTCGCGCGGCGTCCTTCTCCTCCCCCTTTCCTATACGGCTTCCACCCTTTGTGGATTAGTGTGCCGCGTGGCGCAGTGCCTGTGCGCTAGCCTGACGATCCACTCGCCCGGAGAGGTCAGAGGTTCGAAACCTTTTGCGATTATTTATTTATTTTTTTCTTTTTTAAGCCCAATCTCACTCTTCTGCAACAAATCCAACGCATGATTCTCCATTTTCTCAGCAATCTTCTTTTGCTCATTAAGCAAGTCGAATAGCAGTGCTCTAGATTCGGCAAGCGAGAGGAGAATCTCGATTTTCGCGATTAGTTTTCGCTTCTCCTCAAGGTCTAGTTCGAGTTGAGCAATCTGGAATTTTCAGCTTTTTAAACTTATTCTTTTTGAAAAAAAACCCACATCATTCTCCTGATGTTCGACCAAATCTGACGCCTTCTGAATCACATTCGCCACGTCACCAAGGCCGAGGGACATGGACATTTTTTGGACTTGAGGGAGACTCTGAAATTGGGATTTATTCAGAATTTTCAAAGCCCCTTCTATGGACGGTCCAGAAGGGGTGTGGTAAAAAATGGGCGGGGTTTGACGTCCTGATGGGGATCCAATTTAAAAAAAAAGAAAAAAGTTTTCTCACCAAAGTATGAGCATAGGCTTGTGAGCATCGCTGAGCTGTATTCTTTGATCTACCCTCATCATTGATTTTCGAAATTTTATTTATTTCCTCATCGATCATTCGGACATCTCGGACTTGCTGAAATTTTGAGATTTTTGAAAAAATAATTTTTCCAAAAAACTTATTTTGACCTACCTGCTCAAACTCCTTCTGGTACTCACGCCGAGCCTTGTTCATGATTCCTCGGTTTCTAAAAATCATATTTTGTGAAAAACTTTGGAAAAAAAAAATGGAAAATTGAATTTAAAAAAAAAAAAATTTCCAAAATTTTGAAAAAAAAACGTTTTTCATTTTTCTAAATTGTTGGCACATTTCGTTAAAATATTGATTTTCATGCTAGTTTAGGTCGTCAAATCAATTTTTATCAGAATCTGACCATTTTGAAAATTTTCCAGTATTTCGAAAAAAAATTTTTCAATTTTTGAATTTTTCGAAAAAATTGTTAAAATAATGAGTTTTAGGCTATTTTAGGTCGTCAAATCAATTTTTATCAGAATCTGACCATTTTAAAAATTTTCCAGTATTTCGAAAAAAAATTTTTCAATTTTTGAATTTTTCGAAAAAATTGTTAAAATAATGAGTTTTAGGCTATTTTAGGCCGTCAAATTAATTTTTATCAGAATCTGACGATTTTGAAAATTTCGTAAAATTTTCAAAAAAAAATTTTTTTTTCTAATTTTTTCAAAATTTTTGTTAAATTATTGATTTTTATGCTACTTTAGGTCGTCATATCAATTTTTATCAGAATCTGAGAATTTTGAATTTTTAAAAAAATTCCCAAGTGCGCTCCACCGCAACAAACTTTTCAACTCCATTCCACGCCGGCAACTCCTCATCTACACTGTTCACTTCCATTCTCAACCCATGTGGTCCAATCGGTGGTACTGTAGTCCTTTGAACATATGGGTTCCCCAATTGGTGCATTTTCACAACCTCCGAGCTCAACGACGCCGGAAACATGGGCGGTTTATAAGCCCTCTCGTTTATAGTTCGTAGTTTGGTCCCGAAAATTCCGACTTGCGAATTTTGCAAAGCTGTCCTATGGTTCGGAACTTTTGGGTCATCCATAACTTGAATATTTTGTGAAACTGGAACATCCAACGGCATTTTCTGGCCATCAATTTGCCCATTCTCTGCCGAACCAAACGATCCAAGAGCACTAGATGCTCCAGTATCTTCTATTTCTTCTCCTTCGTTGAAAAAGTTCTCCACTTGATCTACCAGTGTCGGGTACGGTGTTCCAGGTTTTTGTGGGCGGGCCGAAGGTGGTAGGGTGGGTCCGATGGGTTCGGAGAAGCCAGGTGGTGCTCGTCCAATGCCGAAGGCCGGTCTCAAGGGGGCGTGGTGCACAGTGGGCGGGGCTTGAGGTGTAGGAAGCGGGGCTTGAGGTCCTGGACCTGATCCAAACGATCCAGAAGAGGCCTGGCCAAAAGTGGGCGGGGCTTGAGGTCCTGGTGGAGAGCCGAAGTGTCCAGTACCTTCCATGGACGGTCCAGAAGAGGCGTGGTCAACAGGGGGCGGAGCTTGAGGTCCTCGAGGCGACCCAAAGGATCCGGAGAGTCCTGTAGCTTCATTAGACGGTTCAGAAGGCGCGTGGTTGAAAGTGGGCGGGATGTGAGGGCCTGGAGGCAATCCAAAGGGTCCAGAAGGTCTTGGTCCTGGTCCAAAAGATCCAGAAGCGGCGCGGTCAGGAGTGAGCGGGGCCTGAGGTGGGGAGCCAAAGGATACAGTTGATCCTAAACCTTCCAGTGAAGATCCAGAAGGAGCGTTGCCAAATGTGGGCGGGGCTTGAGGTCCAGGAGGCGATCCAAAGGATCCAGAGAGTCCTGTGGGCAAACCTTGAGGTCCCTGGAAGCTTGGCACACTGCCAAATGCCTTCGGTCGGTGAGCGGAGCCTGGTGGGGAATCCAAATCTCCGAAATTCTCGATTGCAGTCAATTCTGGAGCTTCTGGAGGCGCTTCTCCAGTTTCAACGGATTCTGGGACTCCAGAAACTTCAGAAGACGTCGAATTGATCTCCTTGCTGAACGTCTCCTCCACATAGTCCTCGCTGTTCTCGATGCCACGTGGCGTGGAGACTTCAACGTCTTCTTCCACGTCTTCTGGGACGTCTTCTGAATCCACCTCTTCTTCCACGTCATCAGAACTTTCCGCCAGATCCTCAGAAAGTGTCAAGCCATCGTCAGAGGCTTCAACTTCCTCTAGTTTCTCTTGGAGTTCTGGAGATTTTACGTCGTCTGAATCCTTGAGGTTGACTTCTGAATCCCTGACGCCATCTGAATTCTTGACGTCAGCTTCTGAATCCCTGACGTCTTCCAGATTCTGAATCTCCTCACTACTTCTAAAAGATTCCGGCGTCGTCGGTCTCATTGGCGCTGACGTCGTCTTCTGGTTCATCTGAATCCCTCGGCTTTCAAAAAATGGGATTTTCACAGGGTCCGGGTGTCTAAAAAGGTTTGTGGCTGGCTGGGCGTCAGGATTAGCTCCAGATGAGTGGAATGAAGACGTCGGAAGGATGTGCTGAGGGATTTTGGTAGTCGTGGAGGGTTCAGATGGCGTGGGGGCTTCAGATGATGTTGTGTGTTGAGAAGCCTCGAATGGATCATGGGCAAGATCCTCTGGTACCATATGGTGTCTCCATGGGGTGGCGACGCTGGCAGAAGGATTATGATGACGTGGCACATTGAGCATGGTGAGTTCTGGAGCTTGTTGGTTCCTTTGAACCTGCTGATTCTTAGGTGTAGTCTGATCCATCCTAATTGTCATGGGGGTTTGGTCCATTTGAATACTGTTTACTGTAGTGGAAGGGGTTACTGTAGCTGGAGGTGATACTGTAGCTGGAGAGGTTACTGTAGTTGTCGTGCTAGGACCCAACGCATCCTTTATAGCCGTCTGAATCTCGTCCAATTCGGAAATTTTTGGAGGTGACGACGTGGCAGAAATATCCACAAATGCCTCATCATCAAATTCAGCGCCTCCTGAGATGTCCTGAAACTTGTCTGGCGCCTCGAAGACGTCCACATCGATTTCTTGGATTTCAGAAGACGTCGTAATGGAAGTCGTCGTCGTTGGAGAAGATGGAGGAGGAGTAGCCGTCGTGGTGGAGCTGAAAAGCGACAGTTGGTTAGTACTTAGTAAATGCGCTCTAATGAGAACCTACCTTGCCATCTGTATAACATGCGTCTTCTCCTTCATCATCCTCTGCCATTTCTCCTTCAAATCCCGATAGGTGCGCTGTACTTGAATCAGGTCCTCCATGAACTTGTCGCCCTTTTTGTCATCGCTGGGGGGTTTCGGCGAAAGTTCTATAATAAAAGTTCATTAATGAAAGGAGTACTTGACTTAGTTATGGAAGATCAACCCTCTTAAGAGGTTTCTAACGCTGTTGTTACGCTCGCAAAAAGCGCAAAAAACACTTATGCGTTCGGGGGGAATCGAACCCCCGTCGAATGCTTGGAAGGCATCCATGCTGACCATTACACCACGAACGCGCATGGCGGGGAGGGAGGGGAACGGCGTATAAGAAGGAGGGGGAAAGTGGCGGCGGCGGGAGAGACGCAGAGAGGGGGAGGGGAAATTTTTGCGTGTGATGAAAATAGGGAAAAATTGAAAATTCCCAAAAAATACCTTTAACCGAGTTTCCATTGAGTAGAAAGTTTTCAATATCATTTCCAGTCTCTGCTGAGGTCTTAGGTGATGCATTGGAGGCGTTTAAAAGGTCTGAAAGTGCCAATTACAGTAGTCTACAGTACCCAAAAAAGCGTTTAGTTTGAAGTCGTTTTAAACTTACAAATAGATATAATTATTTGGATTAATTGAGTCTTCATTATTCCATGAATCTGATAAATGGAGGAAATATGAGAATACCTGAAAATAAGGAATTTTAAAGGGGCAAAAAATCTAAAAAGGGAATTTTTCGGGAAATTCGCGAATCCCGCAAAAATTAAAGGATTACGAGTGACCCATTGAATGAAGGAAGAAGACATTGAATTGCGGAAAACGACCCAAAAATATCTCGCATCTCGGAAAAATGGGCGTAGCCTAGCGATGAAAATGAAAGTACTCGAAAAAGAGCGTTCCGCGTACTAGCCGCGTAAAAGCGAATTTTTCCGGGGTTTTCACCTATTTTTCGCGCCTTTTTTTAATTTTTTCAATTTCGGAACAATAATCCGTTCATTTTGTTTTATCTATCAAAGACATCTCGGGAAAAGTGAAATTCGCCTTGTTTTCTGGAGTTTTTAGCCCATTTTCATAGTTTCTAGGCTTAGGGTACTCTATGATTGCTGGAAATAACGCTTGAAATACTCTAGGATTACTGTAGAAGGTTTGAAAAAGAAAAAAAGAGATAATGCGTTCGGGGGGAATCGAACCCCCGTCGAATGCTTGGAAGGCATCCATGCTGACCATTACACCACGAACGCAGCCAAGAGAAGAAGGGTGGGGTGGCGATGATAAAGGGGGAGAGTTTCAGGAAGAGAGGGGGGAGAGAGGGGGAGAGTGATTAGAGAAAACAGTGTGAAAATTTTCAACATTTTCAAAAAAATTTTTTCAATTTTTTCAAAAATTTTGCTAAAATATCGATTTTCATGATATTTCAGGTCGTCCCATCAATTTTTATCAGAATCTGACAATTTTGAAATTTAGATAAAACGATAAAATATAATTTATTCAGAGAGAGATCGGTTAAGTACAGTAGTTTTTCATCATTATTATACAAAATATATTACTGTCAGTTTTTTTTTTAATTTTCGATGTATATAAGGAAAGCGAAGATATGATGATGCTAAAATAGGACAGAAGAAAAAGAGAAAGAGTTCTGGAATGAGGTATCTTACAGTAGTGACAGTAATCTTGAAAGTATACAGTACAAGGGGATAATGAATACCGTAAAACCTGTGATAGAAGGGCGCATCTTAATTTCTGTTTGAAAAAAAATTTAATAAACTATTTTGCCCCGAAAAAATTCGAACTTATGACACCCTCCAGGTCCGGATCGTTGGGCATGAGCACAGGCACTGAGCCACGCGGCGCACAGAAGCGATTAGGGGTGAAAATCGTATAGGAAAGGGAGGTGGCGCCGCGCGGGAACTAGAGAAACGCGTTTTTGGAAATTCAAAAAGTATGTTTTCATACAATGCAAAACATCAACTATCAAGTTTGAGCTTAATCATCTCGAGTCCTGTCACAGATATGGAAAAGTTGTCAACTAATAAAATATTTGTGATATTATAATAAGCAATTTATCAGTCGACAACTTTTTTCTACCTCTTACAGGAAGCTAGATAATTAGTCTCAAAGTTAGGAGCCCTTCTATCACAGGTTTTACGGTAATCTAAGAATCTTAAGAAGGATAAAACTGGTTATGGGTATGGTTATGGTTATGTCCATGGTGTTGTTGTTGCATCATTTGAGGATGGGACATGTCGACGAATTGAAGGTGTTGTTGTTGGTCGTGTGGATGGAACGTGGGATTTTTGAAAGCGGGACCCAAGAGGGTATTGGCATCCGGGTGCATACTGTCCATGCCTCCGACGTTGAGCACATGGCCAAGTTCGTCGGTCCTGAAAAAAATTTAGTTAGATGTGCATGTTGGTTCAGGTTAGCTTAAGCTATCTAAAACTAACATAAGCTAGCTTAAAACTAGTTTTGGCTGGGTTAAGCTCAGAAACCTTTTTAGGCTGGTTAACTTAGGCTAGCTTGAACTAGCTCAGGCTAATTCTGGGACGTTTAGCTCGAAATGTTGGATTTTCTTATTTTCTAAAAATCTTGTAGTTCCAATTTTCCAAAAAAAAAAATACAGTTTCAATATGTTAAGATAACGAATTTACATCTTGTTCCATTATTTATACTGCCAGATCTTTTGTTAATTTTTTAAAATTTACTAAATTAAGATATCTAATAGTAAGACTAGCTTCAAGCAATCTCACCCTGGATTAAGCTAGTTCAAACAAACTATTTTAAAACATCTCAGACTAGAGAATTGCAGTTTCAGGTTTTTCAGAAAACCGTGAAAATTATAATCAGCTAGTAGTCGTGTAAGCATGGCCTCACTAATTAAAATAATCCCGGTTTTCTGGGAATTTCGAAACTGTAACTTTAGCATTTTTCACTAACTTGAAGTTATCTCAAGCTATATTACTAGCTAGCCCAAATTAACTTAAACCGTTTGAAACTAACGGGTATCTAAAACTAGCCAAAATCCAATTTTCAAAAAAAAGAAGCTATGATTGATTATTCTCAAGCTAGATTCAGCTAGCTTAATATAAATTAACTCAAGCTAGCTCAGACTAACTCTGACAAGCTTATGCTAGCTCAAAATTTTAAAAATGGCCGATTGCACTGATTTTCCTAAACTCTTGACAGAAAACATTTTAAATTTACAGTTTCAACATTTTCAGATAACGAGAAACATCTAACAATTGTAATTACAAAGGTTTTGATAAAATTATTTCTTTTAAAACACTTCTTGCTTTAATAGTTCCATCTCCAGCTTTTTTTTAATGTAGAATGAGCTAGCTTAAACTATCTCAAGCTGCCTTAGGATGTGTTAAACTAACTGAGAGTGTCTAAATCTAGCTTTAACCTATCTTAAACTAGCCAAAAATGAAAATCTTGTAGTTTTGGTTTTCTGAAATATTTGACAGAGAAATTCCAAAAAAAATCTAGTTTCAAAATCTACAGGTTCACATTTTCCAGAAAATGAGGAACATCTAGTTACCTGGTTGTGGATTCTATAATATCCGTTGAAAATAGTTCTCCTCTCAATTAAGCTAGCTTACGCTATCTTAAACTCAAACCGTTTGAAACGAACTTAGGGTAGTATCTCCAATTTTCAAAAAAAAAATAGCTAAAAATCAAAAAAGTTGCAGTTTCGGAGTTTTCAGAAAACGAGGAATCACCTAGTTCTCGATTCAATAATAAACGTTCTAAAGTACACAAGTCATTTTTTTAAATGTTTACTAATCTAATTGTAAGTTATCTGAAACTAACGTTAAGTTACCTCCAGCTAGTTTAAGCTAACTCAAGCTATCTTAAGCTAACTTCAAGTTATATCAAGCTAGATTAAGCTAGCTCTAGATAGGTAACACTAACTTTAAGCTATTCAACACTTCGCAAAACTCACATCTCCATCATACTCTGATGAATTTCTCCTGGCGACCAATCCAGTTTGCTTTGAATCGAGAGTGGCGATGGTGAGTCGGCGCCGAACATTGATGGAGCGGCGGAGGCGCGACGGAAGTTTCTGGAAAAAGATTTCAGACTTTCAAAATTTTAAATTCCCGCCAAGAAATATTTACCCATTGGTCTTGGCAACCATCACAATCTCACTCTGAATATAGCCTCCCGGGCTTTCGGGACCACCAACACGATGACGTTCTTCCGACTCAAAGTAGCGGAGCATTTCCTCTTTGTCAATGTTGGGATACATGTATCTACAAATGCGCGCTATTGATAATTGGGTGAGCGAGAAGTTTGAGCTAGTTTAAGCTAGCTTTAGCTTATTTTTCAGTTGATTTTTAGCTATTTTCAGGAGTCTGGAGCATGGCTGTCAGATTTTCGATCATTTAGAAAATTCTGGAGGGTATAAATCAGACATAAATTAAAAACTTTGCATTCACAGAATTGTTTTTTGATTCCTAGTTTTTCAGATATTTGCCGATTTCTGAGGAACCCTTTCTTCATGTTTTCGGTACAAAAACTGGCTAGAAAGGGTCTGAATTTAGACAGCAGAAAAACACAAAAATTTGTTTAAAACACAAATATTATGAAAATTCAAGTTTTCAACTTCATTTCTACACAGACATTGTTCGAATAACTCAAAAACTAACAAAATTATGGTAGTTTAAAAACTGTGTGCTCAATTTTTTTCCCATTTTCAAAACCATCATAACTTTGTTCGGTTGTGAGCTAGATCGATGTTTTTCGCCAAGAAATGAAGCTGAAATTTTGAATTTCAAAAATTGAAGTTTGTAGTTTGTAGTCTCCAACAGAATATTTTTGTAAATTTTGTCCTTCTTTTGAGCGTTTTTTATTTTTGTCATTTTTTAAACTTGTGTAATTTCATGTGATTTTTGTCAGTATTAGCTAGCGTAGGCTATCTCAAGCTTAACTCATTTTCAGCTAGGTCAAAGCTAGCTTGAGTTAGTTTTAGCTAGCTTACGCAAGCCTAAATTAGCTTCGCCAGTCTAAGCTAGCTTTAAGCTAAGTAAGTTATGTTTAGCTAGCCTTATATAGATTTATGCCAGTCTCAGTTATATTCAAGCAACACTGAATTAGTTTCATCTAGATTTAAGCTAATTTGAGCTAGTTTTAGCTAGATCAAATTAGCTTAACTTAATTTTAGCTAGATTGAAGCTAGCTTAAGTTAGTATTATCTAGTTCACAATCCAGTTAATTCAATAGGCTATGTCAAGCTAGATTTAAGCTTGCTTAAGCTAGAAAAAAACCCACCGAATATCCTTCAACTGTGGACACGAAGCGATTCGACTAGCCAACGACAACTGATCCAAATCCTTGATAGTCAAAGGTGACAAATGGAATGGCACCTTCTGCCCGTCATCATCCTGACAAACGAATCCAATCGAGACCGCTCCAGTTTGCGTATCCGAGAATCTCAACAAAAAACTGGTGTTCGGCAACATGCACATGCTCTGCGAAGCATCGTGTTTCGATATAAATCCAATGCACCATCCCTCATCCCAATATTTCAACAACTTCTGTTTGATCAGCTGCATAATTGAGAAGAACCATTCCCAGAACGAAAACGCCAGCTCCTCACGCATCGCTTGCTTTGCGAATCGGGTGAAAGTGATTGGTTTTTGGTCTGGCATATTTGGAATTATGATTTTCTCACTGAGATAGGCCAGATCGGACTCGGATAGGGGGCGGCGGGCTCCGGTGAACAGGGAGAACTTGTTACGAAGCATTATTGCTAGATTCTCCCAGGAGACTGCGGTGACGTCGTGGACATTTGGGTCCCGGCTGATGGAGGCGAATGCACGGTGCCAGAGAATTGCGACCTGGGCGTCACAGTCTTGGGAGCCATGTACCGTGACCATGATTGGGAGGGAGAGGGTCCAGACGTCAAGTTGTTCTTCCTAAAAGTTCAAAATTTGAATTTATTTATAGCTTGAGCTAGTTATGAATAAACCTTGAGCTAGCTTTAACCAAGCTAAAACTAACTTAAGCTAGCTTTGACGTAATTAAAACTAATTTGAACTAGCTTTAATCTAGCGTAGGCTGGCTTCAGCTTAAACGTTCAACTTCGAGCCAATTTATCTTGGTTCCTGTCAAAGATTTGAAAAAGTTGTCAACTGATAAAATGTGTGAAATTTTAACAGCAAGATTTTATCAGTTGACACGGTTTTGATATCTTGCACAGTAACCTAGATAAATTGGCTCAAACTTGACAACTTACGGTAGAGAGGTTTGGATCATCTTGATCCAACACTAAATCAATCATAAAAGACTAGAGTCAATATCCACACCTCTTTCCATAAATCGTAATTTCAAAAAAAACCTTTTTAATGCAACTATTGAAACAGTATAATTTTTGAGATTTTTGAATTTTCAGCGATTTTATCTTTTAACTACATTTTGCACTATTTTCAAATCTGTACAATTTGAGGCTCAAACTTTGAGCAAAGTTTAACAAAATAATTCTAAAAATTATCAATAGAGCGTGTTTCCTGTTTTATTGGAGATTTCGGATGTGCAGGTAATCAAAAATTTATATTTACAGTTCCAACATCTTATCATAAATTTGAAAACTTCATCCTGGGTAATGAATCTTGTCACTTTTTCATTATCGCTTTTTCAATGGAGCTTCTAGGGTAGATTTTTTTAGATTTCTAAATTTTCAGCGTTCAATCAGTACTTATTTTCCAGATTCGAATTTTGCTCTAATTTCAAAACTGAACTGTAGAGTTTAAGCGAAGTTATATACAAAAAAAACCGAACAATTAGCAATAGAGCGTATTTACATAAGTCTAACAAATTCACTCACGAAATGAAACAAAGAATGAAAAAAAGCATGTATGTCATTGTTCAAATTCAGTAAGTGGTACAGTAATGTTTAGATGTGCATGCTTTTTGAAAATAGATATTTACGGTTTTAAAATCTCATCATAAACGGGACAACTTTATTCTGGGTAATATGTCATGGGTCGTCAAAACTTTTTTTCAAATTCGAAGCAGTATGTGTTTTAGGTTTCTAAATTTTTAGCATTTTCAGCGTTAAGCTACATTGCGCACTATTTTAAAATCTAGACTGTACAGTTCAAGCCAAGTTATACCAAAAAAAACAAAAAAAATGACAATAGACAGTATTTACATAAATCATTGTTCGAATTGGAATCAAACAAACTGCATATTTTTGTTCAAGTTTAGTAAACCTTGTGGGACAATTATTCTTATAATTAGATGTGCAGGTTTTTCCAAAAAAAAAAAACAAAACTATTTACGGTTCCAAATCGTCATCATAAACAGAACAACTTTATCCTGGGCAGTAAGTCTAGCAACATTAGAAATTTCAAAAAATATACTTTTAATGAAACTACTGAAACAATATGTAGATTTTTCGATTTCTGAATTTCTAGTGTTTGATGGATAGTTATTATCCAAGTCAACAAGTCGCATTCTAGACTGTGCAGTTTGAGGCTCCAACTTTGAGCACTCAAAAATCTGAAAATCAAAAATAAATTCGAGTTCGCGCGCTTCTTCCTCCGGGGGGACTAGAAAACTCACACATGGCTGCCAGGCCACCAGATCCATCGTCGCTTTTTCGACGCGGTTTGTCGCATTTTAGGATTTTTTTTTGAAGCTTTTCATTATTTTTATGGTAATCTACATAGATTTCTGCACAAAATAAAGCAATGCAAAATTTCACCGCACACCACCTTTAACATAATATTTTGTTCGAATTGATTACCTTGGCGATACAGTATTTTTCATAGTTAGATGTGTAGGATTTTTTAAAAAAAGTTACTGTTTCAAACTATTATCATAATTTATCATAATTATTTCGCCGTAATTACCAAATTGAACTGTAGAGTTAAAGCAAAGTTATTCACAAAAACTGAAACACTATCAATAAAGCGTATTTACAAAAGTCGAACAACCAAGTTATTGAACGATATGTGATTGAAGGAAACATATTTTTGTACAAATTTAGTGAAAATTGTGATACAGTATTTTTGTAGTTATATGTGCAGGTAAAAAAATTATGGTTTCAAAAACTTATCACAAATTTGAAAACTTTATCCTGGGTAATCTCAGTCTTGGACTTTTTGATTCGAAATTCAGAAAAAACCATTTTCAAGCGTTTACTGAAACCACCTTCGTTGCCGCGCCTTCGGCGCTTCAAACAGCTGGCTGGTGCGACGCGATTTGACCTATTTTTATTTTCTTCGTCGCTGCGCTCCTCACCCCTTTTTGGGGGTCACGTCAAATTATATCTTCCTTATATATAAAACGCTACACGCGTCTGTTGGTCCCCCTGTCAGTCTGTCGACTTTTGAAAAGCTTGAAAAATAAATATAGATTTACGTGACCCTTTGAGAAAAAATAATGCCCAACCTGTAAAAAACTCGGTCAAAATGTGCCAAAGGCGCACCAGCTTTTAGCGTTCAGCTACATTTTTCTACTTCCATCGCTCATAACTTGACTCATTCAAGTTATTTTTAAAAGTTAATTACATACTCAGAATCCTCAAAATCTCAGCTTTCCAATGATACCAAAAACCACTCACCTTGCTCAAATTTCCCATCTGGAAAGGTGTGATAAAGAACAGAAGAGCATATTTCTGATCCGTTGCCGCTTGCATATTTGCCGCGCATTTCATGTCCGATGCTCCCTTTGGTGGCGGTTTACGATGAGCAATACGAGTGAGTTTGGAGTTGTTGAATTTCGCTGAGAGATGACCTCTCTCGTCCATTGTGAGCTTCTCAAAGTCGTTGGAAATCGAGCCGACCTGTTTATTGGCACGGCTGGAAATCAGGGAATTTCGGCTGGAAATAAGTGGGGATATTAGGGTTAGTAATGTAGTTAGAGCACATGTTTTGTAAGAGTTAAAGGTTATTCGAGATCTTAAACAAGATTTTGATACTGAAACAAAATTCCAAAAAAAATCCCTTAAAAAATTTCCAACTTTTTTTTTTCCAGTTTCAGCTAATTTTTTTGAAATCAGTCTAAAATTTTGTGAAATTGGGATATTAGTGAGCACTATTTTTAATCTGAATTTCTGAATTTCTGAATTTCTGAATTTCTGAATTTCTGAATTTCTGAATTTCTGAATTTCTGAATTTCTGAATTTCTGAATTTCTGAATTTCCGAATTTCTGAATTTCTGAATATCTGAATTTCTGAATTTCTGAATTTCTGAATTTCTGAATTTCCGAATTTCCGAATTTCCGAATTTCTGAATTTCTGAATATCTGAATTTCTGAATTTCTGAATTTCTGAATTTCTGAATTTCTGAATTTCTGAATTTCTGAATTTCCGAATTTCCGAATTTCCGAATTTCTGAATTTCTGAATTTCTGAATTTCTGAATTTCTGAATTTCTGAATTTCTGAATTTCCGAATTTCCGAATTTCTGAATTTCTGAATTTCTGAATTTCTGAATTTCTGAATTTCTGAATTTCTGAATTTCTGAATTTCTGAATTTCTGAATTTCTGAATTTCCGAATTTCCGAATTTCCGAATTTCTGAATTTCTGAATTTCTGAATTTCTGAATTTCTGAATTTCCGAATTTCCGAATTTCCGAATTTCTGAATTTCTGAATATCTGAATTTCTGAATTTCTGAATTTCTGAATTTCTGAATTTCTGAATTTCTGAATTTCTGAATTTCTGAATTTCTGAATTTCTGAATTCCAAAGAGTTTTTCTTCTCAAATTTTTCTCTTTTTCACCTAATTATGAAAACTATCATTATCTGAAATTTCCAATCTCTTAATCAGATTCGGGATAAAAAATCATATTCTGTCTTTCTCATTGAATGATAGTCAACTTTGAAAACCTAAAAAAAACAATCCAGTATTTTCCGATTTGTCTGAAACTTTTAGACTTTACTAAACAAAAATATAGTTTCATTTTTGTAGTTGACAACTTTTTTGTAAAATTTGAAACCAAATGAGATATAAGGCTAACAACCAACCAAATTTTTCCTATTTTCAAATATATTTCTTTGTTTCAGCTAGTCATTGTTTCAGCTAGTCATTTCAGCTAGTCATAAAAGATCATACTTGTAATGGGCCGGGCC